ATATAGTGAATGGTAGCCTCAAAAGAATAGGAAGAAACCGTTTATCGCTTTCTTTCTCAAATTTTGAAAATGCAAATGCATTTTTAAATAATAGTCACTTAGAAACACATAATTTTAAGGCATTTATACCTTCTTTCCATGTAACCCGTATGGGAATTGTGAGGGGTATTCCTAAAGATTGGACAGAAGAGGAAGTAATCCAAAATATATCAGTACCTATAGGTTGTGAGAGAATTCTAAAAACCAGAAGAATTAAGAAAAAGACCATTAATGAAGGACAACCAAGTTTTATTAATACTGAAACCATTGTTATTACTTTTGATGGACAAATATTACCAAAAAGAGTATTTATGTTTTACACATCATTAACTGTAGATTTGTACATTTACCCCACTATCCAATGCTATAACTGCTGTAGGTTCGGACATGTCAAGATGCAGTGTCGTTCAAATCCTCGGTGTTATAAATGCAGGCAAAATCATACAGGTGATAAATGTGAAGTAGATGAGGAAAATGTTTCTTGTATCTTGTGTAATGGTTCTCATTCAGCAATTAGTAAGAAATGTCCTGAATATGTACGTCAGAAAGCCATTAAAGAAACAATGGCCCACAGTTGTGTTTCTTATGCTGAAGCATCAAAATTTCATCCTCCCACTTCTAAACTATATTCAGATGTATTAACATCATCATCTCCGTCCAATAAATCTCATTTTCAATCTTCTTTCCTCAAAGAGAAATCATCATTACCACATATTCAATCATCATATAAAAAAACAGTTACACTTAAACCACGCTCTCCTCAAAAAGCACAACAAGGATATGATCGTTCTGCCCATGAAGCCATAGTTAAGGAATATAATATTCCTGCTCCCTCTAATGGTTGTGCATTATCATCAAATAATATTGACAATAATCAATCCATCTTTGATATTATTCTCATGCTTATTAAAGTGTTATCGCAATCGAAAATGATACAAACAACTTTACCACCGTCCAACGATGCCATTTACAATGTATTTTCTCAATTATTAACTTCTCACAATGGATTACAAAGTCCTAATAATTCAGTGGAACTGTCGTAGCATAACAAACAAGAAATCAGACTTATTTTATTTGATTAATAAATATAATCCTTTTATAATAGCTCTACAAGAGACTTGGTTAAAGCCAGGATATCCTTTTAGGATTTCAGGCTTTACAAGTCTCCGTGATGATAGAGCTGACGGATATGGCGGTGTTGCCATATTGGTCAAAAACTCCCTTCCTTTTTCTTCTTTTTCGCTTCCTGTATATAGCGGCATTAATGCAGCTGCTATAATTATAAATGGTATCTGTTTTGTTACTTTATATATTCCTGATCCTACATGCCAAATATATTCACAACTAGAACAATTATTTTCAATTTTACCTAAACCTTTTCTCGTAATGGGCGATTTTAATGCTCAACACCAATCGTGGGGCAGTTCTACTTCTAATTTTTATGGTGGAAAACTCCTGACGATAATTGACACTTACAACTTATGTATTATTAACTCAGATGTACCGACACGTAGAACTGCACCGAATGAAGGGTTTAGTGCTCCTGACATTTCAATATGTTCTTCTGATTTAGCTTCTTCACTGTCGTGGTATCCTCATTCCTCTACTTTCGGAAGCGATCACTTTCCCCTCATTCTTTCTTTTCCAATTTCCATTCCCTCAAGTCGAAAGAGTGGTCCTCGGCTTAAATATAATTTATCAAATGTAGACTGGAATATTTACAAACAATATTTAGATAATAAAATATCGGAGTTACCTATTGTTTACCATGGAAATGAACATCAATGTTGTAATGACTTGATGATAAATATGAAGGAGGTTGCTGATTTATTATTTCCTGTTAAAAATAGTGCTTCAGGGAAAATTCCCTCGCCACCTTGGTGGGACAAAGATTGTACGGAAGCAATTAAAAATCGTAAAGAGGCTGAAAAAAATTATAATAATTACATGACACCAGAAAATTTTGAAATTTACACCGCAGTTTCACGTTCTACTCGAAAACTACTGAAAAAAAAGAAATTAGAAGGCTGGAGAAGATTTTGTTCTTCTATCTGTCCAGAAGTTAATTCATCAGTCGTTTGGAATAATATTAAAAGATTCAGATCTGCCTTTAGTAATCATACATCACGTTCTGCACTCGATTTAACTTTAGCGAATAAATTTTTAGATCGCCTTGCTCCTAGTTATGTGCCGGAATGCCTTTACAATATTTCTCTATCCGTCTCTGACGAATTATTCGAACTTGACTCTCCTTTTACTCTAGTAGAACTTAAAGGTGTTCTAGCTTCTATTAAAGACACTGCACCGGGAGAAGACGGTATACCGTATTCCTTTTTTAAAAATGCTAGCGATGCGACATTAATTTACTTTTTAAATATAATTAATTCCATAATTATTTCGGGAAATATACCTACTTCATGGAAGTCTCAGGTTATTATACCATTTCTAAAGCCTCATAAACCACCTTCTGAACCATCTTCATACCGTCCTGTTGCACTTTCCTCTGTCTTACTAAAGCTAGCTGAACATTTAGTGAAAAACCGTCTAGAATGGTTTTTAGAAAGTAATAACTTACTATCCCCGAACCAGTTTGGTTTTAGGAAAGGTAAGAGCACCTTAGATAATGTGAGCATTCTTATTTCAGATATTCATATAGCTTTCTCACAAAATTTTTCAATCCTCTCAGCCTTTTTAGATATAAATTCTGCCTATGATAATGTAATAATTTCTATTTTAAAAACTAAATTACAAGCTCTAAATGTACCGGTAATGCTTTCTAATTTCATTATTAATATTTTATCAGAAAGAACAATATATATGAATTTAGATGAAGATACCAAATTATCTAGAACAGTATGGAAAGGCCTTCCACAAGGATCTGTTCTCAGTCCAATCTTATTTAACATATACACATACGATCTAGAATTATTCCTTGATAAATCCGTCAAAATTTTACAATATGCTGATGATCTTTTATTATATTTTATTGCGAAGTCCATAGAATCTGCTTCTGCCAAATTATCTGATTCATTAGATTTGTTAAAAACGTGGTTAGATGCAAATGGTCTTAATCTTTCTGTAACCAAGAGTAGTGTAGTTTTGTTTTCAAGAATGAGATCACCGCAACAAATTAAGGTGCTTTATGATAACTCATACATTCCTATAAAGACTGAAATTAAATTTTTAGGTATCGTGCTAGATAATAAATTAACAGGTCTGTCCCACTGTAATTATATTTCTACGAAATGTGAGCGTAACCTCAACATTCTTAGGTGCCTTGCTGGAGTTTGGTGGGGAGCACATCCCGTTTCACTAAAACTTGCTTATAATGGTCTTATAAGGAGTGTCATTGATTATGGAACTTTTTTGTTAGCTCCAGGAAGTTCATTTGCTTTTAAGAAATTGGATTTAATTCAATCAAAGGCCTTGAGGATTATCTCTGGAGCAATGAAATCAAGTCCAATCAATGCTTTACAGCTCGAAGTCGGTGATCCACCTTTGGTTTTAAGAAGACAATATCTATCTGATCGCTTCTTTTTTCGTTGTTTACAATTATCTGATCATCTGCTTATTCAAAAGTTATCTCAACTACATATCTTTATTTCGTCTTCATCTTATTGGAAACATAAAAAACCTCCATGTTTAATACAAAGTTATGAAAAATATAAATCCATAGAATCTCCCACTTTTACATCGTCCTGTTTTCCCATTTATAAATGCTCATATCAATCTTTAGTTTTATCTCCTAATATTAAATATGATTTTGGGTTATTAAAAAATGATTCAGAATTGAATGCCAAATTTATGTTTATAACTGACATTGAATGGAATGAATGGCACTACATCTTTACTGATGCATCAAAACCAGACAATAGCGGTTGTGTAGGTGTGGGTGTGTTTCATTCACAATTTAATATCGTTCAAAAAATTAAACTTCCACCGGAGTCTTCAGTTTTTACCGGGGAATGTTATGGTATTTTAAAAGCTGTAGAATATATACTTTTAATGAAATTACATAAGGCAATAGTTTTCACTGACTCTATGAGCTCTTTGCAAGCTCTAGCCAAATATCCGTTTAAATCAAAACCAGTTTATCCCATTATTTGTGACATAAGACAAAGTCTTTATCTTTGCATGTTGAGAGGTTATTCCGTTTCTTTTGCCTGGTTACCAGGACACAGTGGTATTAGCGGCAATGACAAAGCTGACCTTATTGCAAGAGAGGCTGTAACTTGTGGTGATATGTATCCGTATCATAATTACTGTAGTGACCTAGCTTGTCTCCCAAAAATATATTTAAGGTATGCCTGGAAGGAATATTGGGAAAAAACAAGTACAATAAAAGGAAGATTTTATCGCCTTATACAACCCGATATTCCTTTCAAACCATGGTTCTGTAAATTAAAGCTTGGAAAGACCGCAACAACTATTATAACTCGTATGCGTCTAGGTCACGTATGCACACCTTCTCATTTATACAAGCTTGGTATTGTACAAAGTTCGTCGTGTAATTGCGGTGCTGAAGTGGCGGACTTGAATCATATATTCTTCTCATGTTCTAAATTTGACCACACCTCCCTTTTTAATCATCTCCGATCCATCCGTGTTCCATTCCCAACTTCTATTCTTACTCTACTTTCTTCCAATGATCCTATTATCTATAAAATACTATCTTCATATATATATGATAACAATATTAAGATTTAGTTATATTACATGAATACATTTATAGTTGCATCAATTGCTTTTCCTATATATTTATAAGTATATTCTCATATGTACAAGTATATCTTTCATATCCTATAAATATCCTAGACCTAATCCTTATCCTTTCTAAATTCGTTTGTGTTAGGTATTTTTATTACTATTATCGTTTCCCCGTTTTGTTCTTGGCAAAATACCCTAATATCGGGGTGAACGCCACAAAAAAAGAAAAAAAAAAAAAAAATAATAATAATTGTCAGTCTGAGAAAATTTTTACAATATTAATCTACGTAACAAAGCAACTAAGCGGACTTTTTAAACATTCAATACAAAAATTCAAGTTTAAATTTCTTATTTCAAATGATTGTTTATTGGAAAGTTACAAATATTTATTGTGTATTTAGTCAATTTAGCCAATAAAATCTCTCTGGTGAATGATTCAGAAAGATTAAATTTATTTTCTGGAAGTTTTTGGGGTGGCTCATCAAGGACTTACACTTTGTATCGTGTTGCGACTTCCCGGGTTGTAAATTGAATAATTGACGTATTTGCGCACGCATGCGCTTATAGTGCACTACGAAGTGAGCTACAGCCATCTTCAGTGGTGTATGACCTAACTCGGCCCAAGAGGCGAAGACGAAGAGAAGTCAGACTCATTACGATCGCTTACGTAGCTGGTGCTTTAGTGAGTTGACGTGTGAGAGATACCTAATCACTAATACTTAAAAGCTGTGACTAGCAGTTTTCAAACTAAATACGACAAATTAACACACAATCAGGTAAGCCAAAATATTTTTAAAAATTTTTCGCACTTACCCTTACTGCTTAGCAACTCAACTGTTCACTAATCACTTTAACACTTATTAAAGTTTAAAATATTTTGTTTTTATATTCCTAATGCATAGTTTTCTAATTTATTTTTTGTGTTCCAATTCTCAAAAGCATGTGTAGAATAGTTTTTTTTTTTTAATTAGTGCAAAACATTTTTTTTTGCTTTATATTTCTCTCTTTTGGTTAAGTTGGCATGCATCGGTGTTCGCTGAATGGTGGTTTTTACATGTCCATGGAATATCTGTACGAAAGAACTACTCTGCCAACAAAAAAAAGAATTGGTGTGGATAGAAGAAGTTATGCCCCAATAAAAAAATATAAAAAAATCTTCAACATTGGCTATGCTAGGAAGCGATTAGAGCCTTTGTTTGTTGCCTCTCCTTTGAATGTGACATGTATGGAAGAAATTAATGAGTAAGTATTTGTGCATGATATGCTTTCTTTGCTTTTGTCTTCTGCACTTACATTTTTAAGTAATCTACTTTAAAATCCAAATAGAATCTATGATAATTTAAAATTTTAGACATTTCAGTTGAATTAGGCAATCCATTGAGAAGAGTAGGTGTTTTATTTTAGAAAAATAAACTTTATTACAATACAAAATAAGTATTAATTTAGATTCACCCATTTGCAAAGTAAGCTAAGTTCACTGCACTATTTCAGAGTAAACACGGATCCTGTAGAGACTTCATCCAACATGTCATCTATGAATGCGGAGGAGACTGCCTTACTTGGGTAAGTCCAATTGTAGTTTTGAACAAGATATCTTTTGTCACTTGCATGTATTTTTTATGTAGAAAAAATTTGTGTGTTTTTCTAGTTATTGCTATTGTTACATATTATGTAATTGTAAAGAGCATAGTTTTCCAAATAAGTCTTATAAGGTGTTTAAGAAAACCACAACCTACCTATTACCTATTCTAAATTCAAATATAAGTCTAATGTGTGTGTTTGTAATTACTAAATTTAGTGATTTGAAAATAAGAATAATGAAATTATAATAATAATAAAATTACTGTTACATACACAAGTAATCAATACATTACAATGGTCGAATACAGGTGTTCCATAAGTCATGGATAAAATGGATTCTAGCTATAGGGGGACTATATTTAGCCTTATAAAAAAAAAAATAAATCAATAGTTCAAAATAGTGGGGATTATTTATTTTTCTAAAAAATGTTGTAGTAGGATGACATATTTTACAAATATATAAAAAGTGTATCCCACTTTTTATGTAAAGAGGAAAACACATAATGTGGCTTTCTGGTGTAAATATTTGTTTAGAATTTTCTTGCTGTTACTTTAAAAAAATAACTTTTTTGTAAAAAATTTTAACTTGAATTAGAATTTTAGTATGAAATTTGAGTAAAAGCCTATCTGAAAAAAATTTATTACACAAGTGTAGCACATTATTATAAAAACTTCTAAATTTCATGACGATTCTAAAAATGTACAGTATTTAGATTTCAAATAAATACAAATGATACTATAAATTTATATTTCTGAAATGAGAGACAACATGACAGTAAGTACAGTTGAATTTGCCCATGAAACATATGTGATCAGTATTAACTTTTTTTTTTTTTTTCAGAATGTCTTCCACCAACTCTAATATATAATCAACAACGTCGTATAAAATTCCTACATAAAGAATTTAGAGCCCGTTATTTATTTCGAATTCTATTCTCCAACTCATTTTTATTTTCTTTAATATCCCCAAATAAAAAAATAATCAATCGGATACGATCAGGTGGACGCGGAGGTCATGCCACTATACCTCTCCTACCGATCCATTGATTTGGGTACGCTTCATTTAAACGTCGGGTCACAACGCGAGAAAAATAGTAGAAAAATTCTAAACTATCATTTTCACCTGAAAGCCACATTATGTATGTTCCCCTTTACTTAAAAAGAATTATGTGGAATGCACATTTTTTTTAATACTTATATAATATGTCATCCCAGTAAAAATATTTTTAGAAAAATAATAAATTCCTGCTATTTTGTAACTATTGGCGTATTTTTTTTTTTTCTTGATAGAGCAGGATTTTCCTTTTTGCCAGATTCCGTTCCATCTATGACTTACTGGACATTCTGTATAAACTTATTTACTTTATATAAATTTGGAAATACATTTTGATGATATAGCAATTTAAAACAGTACCTCACCTTCATAGGAGCTTGCCCGTAAAATACAAACATTTGTATTAATGAATATGAAATACATAAAATATTAAAAAAAAAAATGTTTATGCCATTTAGAATGGCAAAGAATCTGACGGAAAATGGTAATCGTGCCATATAGACATGAGTAGTACAATGGATAACAAAGGATACTGTTTCGTACACTCCATGCGATGCTATTCCTGAGGATTAAGGTGTTATACCTCTGTACCCTGTAAATTTACTGCCATATTCCTTCAAACCGAAACACAGCCATGCAAACAGGTATCCAAGCAAATTACTTTTGTAGTATACCTAGTATGGGAAATTATACACCTAGTATATTGAATACCATTACTGATAATTGTTCTGTATTCAACAGTGTCCGACCGAACTTTAGGTTTCGGCCAGAAATTCTACTTTCGGCCTTAGATTCGGTTTCGGCCAAAAATTAGACGAAACTTTCGGCCGCGCCGAAACTTTGTGTGTGTGGGTGTGTTGTGTGTGTGTCTTACTGAATGTTTTTTTTTTAAGTTTACTTCCAAGAGTAAGTCATAATTTTAACATGTTTTTACATATCAATATACATATATGACATATTTGTAACATACTTCAATTAGTGTTTATCATTACCCTTTAACTATCTGTATGTTTGTGTAAATAATTGTGTAGAAAATACACTAGATTTCAGTATACCATAGAAGAGAAATTTGAAATATGTTTCGGCCGAAACTGAGACCAAGGCCGAAAGTTCGATATCGGTTTCGGCTGTAAAACCTGTTTCGGTCGGACACTAGTATTCAATACAGTTATATAATAATACTTATTTCTACTAAATATGTGTAAATGTATTTTGCTTTATTTGATTATTGCAGTGAACTCTGTATATGAGTAGATTTGAGATTTTTCCCCATACCACTTAAAGATAAATAAAATCTCGTAATAACATGTCATTCATCGACGCTATTATATAACACGATATTTTTTACGGAAGGTTTGTATATACAACACATCCTAATTTGCACCCGAAACCGGGGCGAGTTGCTTGTTTACTATTAATCACGTCTGTAGGAATAGATTTGAATGACTACAGAAACGGTTGCCCAACTTATTTAAATTGTTTTAAAACTATTTCCAATACGTATAACCATACCGTTTGTGCGTGTTAAGGATATAATCAAATTATGGTCTATATATAATGTCAACATATAGAAACCTACGTCGTCTCTTATAGCACTCTATCTACTTAGCTAATCCAGAACAATGGAAAGATGAGTAAATCAATATGTGTATGGCTAAACAATTAGGAAAGGTTTTTTTTTAAATAATTTCATTTATAGAAAGCTACATTATCAGCAAATAACATCAGGTGTATTTCGTTTTAAACATAGGCCTCCGAAGTCTGCTCGGGTCTCTAGTGTCGCATTTGTTTTTTTTTTACTGTAGAAATACGTTTTAGAAAAACACCCGTTTCCAAAATTTATCGAATTTTTTTTTAAACATAAATATGTATTTTCTCAAACATGCTTGGAAATGGGAGCATTATTTTAACAATCTTCTTCGAGATAAATCAAAATTTTATTTAAATTTCGAACTGGTTTGCAAATAGAAAGCTGTTTATTGAAAAAAAAAATACCGCTGCAGTAATGTACTATTTATAAAATTCTAGCCGTTTCCTGCGAGTTTACCCCCGTTTATCAGTATAAAGTATCCTATATAGTAAGTTATATAGGATATAGCCTACTAACATAGCAAATTTCGTTCAAATTTGCTCAGCTGTTTAAACGTGATTGAGTAAAAAACAACTTTATAAACTATCACATTTAATATATTAGTAGCATTTAATTAATTATTTAATAAGTATACAGGTAATAATATATCTTTATTATATGACTGATTGCTTACAAAATCGATATCTGAGGATTCGTATGCACTTCAAATATGGATGCGATGTCAGAATTAACAAATTAGCATTAAGAAATTAAACTTATGATAAAATACAATTAATTATTTTTTACATTTAGTCAACTTTATATAATTAATTTATATTTTTCACTCCCATGCGTAGATATTTTTTTAAAAATTCGCTCTAAATTAAAAGTTTAATTATTTCTTACACCAATATAAGTTTTAAATCTACAAAGATTCTGCGATATTTGTATTCAAAGAAATCGATGAAGTAAAAAAAAATCTAAATGGCTATTACTTTTGTGATATTATAATATGAAGTGATATTATCCTTCCATATTTAAAATATACTTGGATCCACAAACAGTGATTTTCAACCTTCGCTTCAAAATATTACTATTTTTAAAGCAATAAGAAAGAGTTATAAAGTTCTATCTACCGCATTTTTATTCTTTATGTATGCATTATTTCTAAATAATATATATAACTAATAATAAATAATATATTCAAATATATAAATAAAGTTAAATATTATAAAAAAATATTTAATCCTAATTATAAGTTATGACCTTTACCTATTTCTCTTAATCTAAAATAATATTTTTTAATCTAGTAACACTATCACATTCACAATTGTATGAAAACATTAACTCGTATTTTTTGAAGCATTTGTATGGAGACACTCTATCTATATAATTTAAGGTGTAAATAATGAAATGCAAAATGTTAAGAATATTATTCCTTAAAGGTAAGAAATACCTTGTATAAATAAAAAGCATTTCTTTAGCGGATTAACGAAGATAAAATTCTGTATTTATATAAAAGTGCGCAAAAAGAAAATGTTAAGACCGCGATACTTTTTTGTAACCAGAATATAATTTCATGCTACTTACTTTGAAAATCACACATTTCCGTACAATCATTTATTCTTTACTTATAATTTACGCGCGAGCGAAATTGCAGGCAACAGCTAGTATATTAATAAAAGTACAGTTATTAGTATTCCTCGCACCTATGTATGGAAGCCAGAGTCGGGTATGTAAGAAAGAGAATGAAAGTAAAGATGCGTTCCAAATGGGAGCACTGTCATAAATTAATTAATGGTCCTCCGAATAGTTCTAATACCATTGCGAAGAATCTGCAGCCTGGCAGATTGCATTCGTAATATGTATAGTAAAGCGATTAATTGGTTTCTGGGAAAGTATAGGCGTAAAAATGCGCAGGCCTACTTTAGTACAGGATGTTGTAACTATAATTAATGTAAGGACACAAGTTAGATAAGACAATCTTCTTATGGGCAGATAAATCATTTCGTGTCAGAGGAAAGAACTTGTAAAAGGTTCCCCTGATTTCAGAATCAGAGTATAATTGTACCACTCATTGATCAATTTATTACTAATGTTTGATAACTAAATACGTTCACAAATAAAATTCTATATCAAAATAAGAGTAGTTTAAATTTTTATTTACATTACTTTTATTATACAATTACTTTGCTCTAGTACGAAGTTATCAGAAGCGGTGTATTCTTATTATTGTATTGTATTCTTGAAAATTAAATCTAACCTACGAAATATTTTTTTTTCTTTTTTATTAGTTTATATATAGATAACCATAACAGAAAGTAAGCGTTGCTGATATTCGACATACTTTTAAATAAT